TTTTTTAAAACGTCTTTGAGGAGTTGTTTGCTCATAAATCGGACTGAACTGGTTAAAGTTAATAGCACAAGGCTCCTTTTCACAATCAAGATGATTTTTTATGTTATCTGAGTCAGCGAATAGTGATTCTGCCATTTAGCTGTTTTTCAGGAGCTCTTTTTCATGTAAGCTCTCGAATTAAATATGAAACATGTAAGCTCTCTTAGTTTTTATTGACTAAAATACTAAGGTCGACCTAAATGATATTCAAATATCATATTTTTTTTTTAGGCCTGAATGAGGAAATGGCCTCCAAGATACTATACTTCACATTGATAGTAAACGCAACCTACAGGTGTAGTTCAAATTAATGGCACAGTCTTATGTATGTATTTATTTATTATTTCACTTATAATTTTTAGTTACCATTATTTCATTTATATTTTGTCATCATGTGACCAACCAGCCTTTGATGCTGATTCCTGCTGTATTCAAGCATTTTCACAGAGGAAAAGACACATTTAGTCCTCTTTGAGAGTGCTGGAAAGCTTTATGTGAACTTGATCACAATCCCAACAAAGCACTAGTTCATAAAGCGCTCTTTTAAAGGAAAAGCTAACGTGAAGGGTTAAACCCTAAGAGCACAGTGGCTCTTAAGAAAGGGTGGCGTCAGCAGGGAGACGTCAGAGGTCCGAGACGTCAGTGATATTGAGCTGTGGTCGGGCTTTCTGAAGCATAGAGTTATTAGGAGCTCTTGATGCGAGCTGTAATGGATGTGGTGAACTGTGGCCTCTCTTAAAGCAGACAAAGTGCACTTACACAGCAATTACCTCTTGTTGCTTTGGGTTTGGGTTTATCTAAATAAACAATAGTGTGCTTGTATGTGACAATCTGTGTTCACAGTTTGAAATACCACATCCTCTGTCTCCTAATGTGGGAATGTCTTTGTATAGCTTGCCGTTTCTCACGCGTGCGTGTGGAAGCGAGCCGTGAACCACATCCCCGTCCTCAGACCCCGTTGTCTCATCGATTGACGTTGTGTGACTGAGTTTCCACACCTGTCTGGTGTGTGTTTGAGGTCCTGCTTATGAGGTTTTGAGTTTGTTTGTAAGGTGACAATGGAGATGAGCAGCATCATGTGGTTCACTGACTCATTGTTGTGATCTTCAGCGAAAATACTGGCTGAAAATAGCAAGTGTTTGTTTTTAGACACACAAGAGGGGTATTTTTGAATTGAGGCTATAGAACAATGTAGTTTTGTTTTTGTTTGTTTTTTCCATTTTCAAGATATAGTTTAAATTTGTATTTCTGTCATAATAGACTGTAATTCTAAACCCATAACACTTAAATTCATCTTCGAACACAAATTAATCTAATATTCTCCCATTACTTTTGAAAGCTTTAAAATGTACTTTATTTTAAGACTAGGGGTGTAACAATATATCGTGTCACAATATATCACAATACAAAAATGCAACAATGTGTATCGTGGATAGTGACAATATTCATTGTGGTAAAGTTCACCCAAAATAAAAATTACTGTGTGTGAAAAGAATTACGTTTTTAGCGTTTTAGTGTCATTACTACAATAAACTATATATAATGTTGAATACAATGTATAATAATGCAATGGGGGAATATTCGTGGGTCCTGATAATGCCAAATGACTGTTACCAGTAAAAGTGGCATATTAGTCTAAAATAATTCAGTGTTTTCACCTTCAGAATCATGAATATTGTTATTCTGGTCTCTCTATTGTTCTGTGCTTTGGGTTTCAGAACCAAATCCAAGCCTATTCATGTACACACACACACACACACAGACCCAGCATTTTAATCAACAATACTTTTTGAAAAATCTTTTTCCGAGTCGGAATTCGTTCGTTTCGTTCGTTGCATGAACCAAATGACTCGCAAAAAGATTTGTTCATTTTGATGAACAAGTTCGAACAGGAGAGTCACAAACGTGCGTCACAGTACAGAGCAACGCGAGCATTTGAGCTTATAAAACTTGTTTTTATAAACTTTGTTATTTATTATTTATTTATTAAATAGCTTAATTTTGTTATTTATTTATTAAATGAGTGATCGTTTCGCTTGATAAGACCCTTATTCATCGTCTGAAACCGTTTAAAGCCCTTTGAACAGTTTGCGGTTTGCACTGAAACTGTCTTTTGGACCTTGAACCGTTTGGTTCCCATTGAAGTCCATTATATGGAGAAAATCCTTTAATGTGTTCATCAAAAGCCTTAATTTCTTTTCAACTGAAGAAAGAAAGACATGGATATCTTGGATGACATGGCACTTCCAAGATATCCATGTCATTCTTTCTTCAGTCGAAAAGAAATTAAGGTTTTTGATGAAAACATTCCAGTAAATTATCAGCAAAAGTTTTTTTTAAAAGTGAGCTACTCTTTTAAGGTTATGAATGAGCTGGTGTGCTCGAAAACAATAACAAAATTTGCATTTAGTATATACAAGCATTCAAAACGGAATCCACTAAAATGGATCATGGGATTTAATGATATCACCGCGGACTCCAGCTCCTCATCTCATCTTCTGTCCAATCAAAGGCTCTCTAGAATCAAAAGCTTCTCCCCCTGTGCTATAAACACCACCTGGCCAAAGTGACACGTCACGGAGCATAGATGTGTGTTTGGTTGCTCAAACACTCAAGTTTTATTCTGTTTTCCAACTGTACGTTGGTTAAAAATGAAATGGCTAGAATTTATTCACAGCTCTGCTATTGAATCCAGCGTATCATCAGCTCTCGGATTCGCTTCCATTGTGCCGTCAAGTACGACCTGCAGTCTGTGAGGTGAACTAAAAGCTATTGGCTATTTGAAAATGGGACGGAGCCATTCAATATGTCCCGCATTAGCTTCCTGTTTCAGTGGGAATTACATCAACGCATCAATCCAAGCTGCGCGATCCAAGGCACTTCAGTGGGACTTTAAATAACGGGCCAGTGCGGTGCCAAAATCGGACTCCCGCCAGGTTACGACCCCCCCCCCCAGCTACCACTCAGAAAAATGAAACATGACAGTGCACACATTTCTTTAAAAAAAACGTTTACTTTCATCTTTTTACTTAACCTCTTTGTTTTATTTTTTTTTGAGGTTCCCATGGTTTGGCTCCAGCCCGCTCTCAGCCATGCCTCCCGCCAAGACAGATCAGCTGGACTTGTGGGCGGAGTCAGGGCTGGATGGAGACGTCCAGGTGATGGTGGACTTCCTGTTGCCCACTGGAATCTACATCCAGATGGAGGTTCCCCGAGAGAGCACCATCCAACACATCAAACTGGTGCGTATATGTTTCTTTACAAGCAGATTCTTTCTTTCAGAGTCTACATGGAGACTGAAAACTGGGCTTCAAATAACTATTAAAGATATTTTAGCAAACACAAAGCAGCCCCTGACAAACACCCAAAACAATCATGCATTCTGGTGAAGTTATCCCTTCTGAAAATGTCATTTTTACCTTTTAGATTCTAGTTTAACCATTACCAGTAAAGAATGTAAGGGCACTTCAGATCATTTATAGCGGAGCACTTCAGTCCTGAGAGGCCAGTGTCCTGCTTTGTTCAGACAAAGTTCCTCTAAAGCCCTATTCGGATGGCAATTGTTTCCCTTGGGGTTGTAAGGCATTTTCAACGTTTAAAGGGGTTAGTCTATGATTTGTATTGCCATCCGAATCCAGAATGTCAGTGTTTTCCTACCACACGTGTAAAAATCCCTGGCCAAATTACCTACTGTTTTTTGACCAACACCAAGGTCTTGTGGTGATTTAATTACCGTCCGAATCTGCATCTCAGAGTTAACAAGAAGAGATCAATTCAAAATTCATTGTTTAAATCCTTTCGATCACTGCACAGCACCTTACGGGTGATAACTGTACGGGTTGCGCTTCACTGTAATGTACATGAATTTTAAAGATGTACACTTATTTACCTCAGCGAACAAAAAGGAGAAAGAGAAAAAAACACGTAAACATTTGAAATGGGCCATTATTGTGGCAGCAATATATGATACAATTTAAAATATGTAGGCTATTATACACAACATTAAAAATACAAACCGAGCAGCTTTATTTATTATCTCATGTAAATAAGAGGCTGCAACTTGTTTCCGCTTATTTTCATTTTTTTTAAATAACATCCTTTTGAGATAAAATGCAAGACATGAAAACCACGTACGCGCATCTAGCTTCCTATTCTAAAAAGTAAGATTTAAATAACAGAGTTGTCACGATAGCAAAATTATTGTTTCTATACCAGTTAGGGGTGTCCATGGTTAACCGATTAACCGTTTAAAATTGCATAACCGAGTGAAACTTTTGCTCGGTTAAGTGGCGTCAATACATATTTGCACAAAACTTTAGCGTTTTTTTTTTTCTGAATATCAATAAAAAAATATTGTGAAATGACAGTGTTTCCATTAACGATGTTATGCGACTAATAAAACATCTTTTTTTTTCTTTCGCGATTAGTCATTCCAAAAATAATGGCAACGGACGTTGGTAGTCGATCACAGCCACGCACTAAACATTATTATTATTTATGGAAGGAGACGTGGTGTGTCATCCAAGCATTAATGGCAGGGAAAGAGACAGAGATCCTGTGCGTTTCTCCCTTATTTCTGCTCCGAGGTCTTGATTGTGGCATTTCTTTGAGGTTTTGTCTAGTAGGCTGTTCCTTGTATCTTTTATGAATTTTAAAAAAGAACTCTGCCACGTATTATGTCCAAACGGTCTACTTTTGTGTTCATTCGTTTCCCCTTATTTAATCCGTTGGCCTAATTGCAAAATGAAAAATGAACGGTTGTTGTATTTTGTAAAACGCAAAGTTGAACTCCAAAATGTTAATTTGAACTGTAGGCTTGTACGCCAAATGCTGCGCAAAAACATATAGGCTATATATCGACGAATTTGCCCCTTAAACATTTAAAATATTTGACAAATTAATATGAAAAAAAAGATTTTACTGGTTTTCTGAGGCCAAATTAGAACCTGGGAATAATATTTCCCCGCAATGCTGAATGAGAAGAGCCGTAATTTATATAGGCTATAATAAATGTGTCTGATATTGAAATAATATAAAATAATGAGGCATTAATTGTTTATTAATAAACTATTGTTTTTTTAAATCATTTTCGGCTAAAAACAATTCTCCATCTCCGGATGCACATTTAGAGAGAAATTAATTCGCTACATAATTACATACACTCGCTGTATGTAATTGCTGGGTTGTTTTAACCCAACTTTGGGTCAAATATGGACTAACCCAGCCGTTGGGTTAAATTTTTACATTACATTTTTAACCCAACATTTTGGGTTTGTCCATATTTGACCCAAAATTGGGTTAAAACAACCCAGCATTTTTTAGAGTGTAGTCAGAAAATATTGGCTTTCGATTAGAATTTGTTCGTTTTAAATTGGACATTTAAAGCTTTAGCCTACAAAGGATAGTCTAGTCTAGGCCCCTAGACTAAAGCTTTAAATGTCCAATTTAAAACAAACAAATTCGAATGCGGTGGCTGTTTCAGTTCTCGCGCTTCAGTTCGCGGAGATCATGAAGCGCGCCTGAATGTTAAAGAACAACGTTTTCTTGTTATTGTGAGTTTACGCAAATAAAAGTATTTGCGAATAATATATTATTATTTTCTGTATGACCAGAAATGAAAGAGTATTTTAATTTGTTTCCACTGAAAGAACTGCAAGTGTTCACATGGGCATCTCGCAGCCATCAACGCGCGCTCCACACACACTGGATATGCGTCAAAAATATTGTGTTTATTTGTGCTTTGTTCCTTTTTTTGGATAAATGCGTCTTCTACATAATATGCAGCCTAATAAAATGTTACAATAATGATGATTTATTATTATTATTATTTGCGGACACAAAGTTTTTGCGAAATGGACGTGTCAATGTGCTTATTTTCAATTGGTAATTTCAGTTTGAAGGGTGATGGAAACGCGCCTACTTTAACTGCTCTGAACTTACCACTGCGTTTTATTTCTATAAATTAATTTCGTTTCAAATGGGGTCCAACCAGTTATTAAAAAGGTGTTAAAAATTAACTCTGTATCTCGAGGTTGCGGCGCGCACATGGTTAACCGAGTATTAACCGATAAGGGCCTCGGTTAACGGTTAATGAAAAATTTGAAAACGTGCAGCCCTAATACCAATACCAAGTCAAGAATTGCGATTTCAATATTTTTCCTGAAAAGGAGAAACACTTTCAAATATCATTGCTGTGGTTTACTTTAAAGCTGCTGTCTGTAACTTTTTTAAGTTAAAAAATAATCCAAAATAATTATTAAAAAAAAAAAAACATATTCTGCCAGCGGTCAAAACTATCTGCTTGCCATAGCTAGATTCAAAACGGTTAGCTTGTAATAATGATTTTAATTCCAGTGGTACTGGTGGGTTTCCGCAGGAAATTCGAGCATGTCTTTGCGTTATTACGTCACACCCGTACACAAAAAGGAGGAGTTTCGGCTAGCTGCGTGTGAGGAGATGTAGAGATGTATAGGCTTTTCTCGCAGCACTTTACAAAATTAAACTTATGATCCAAACAATCATCAGTGTCAACTGGAGATTCAGCAGTTATACAACCCAAAAGACTTCATACGTCAGATTTAAGTTGGCTAGAAAAAGAGAAAGAAACCGTCTCATGCGAACAGAATGATTTAGACATCGGCGGGGCTTTTGAAAAGTGTGTGAACAAAAGTGTGTGAAGTGTGCAAATGTATTTTTACAGACGCCCACGTGAGAAACAATTACCTTCTAAATAGGGCTTAAGACAAATTATTCTCGGCAGCCATCTTTGAAACTCCTTTCTCTTTGAATGGGAAAACATCAAATTCTCCAAAGCTGTTCACCAAACTTACGATTAAATTTCATATTTGAAATCACCAATGAAATCTGACAACAATTGTCCCATAAATGTTGTTTCTAAACACTCAAATCATGACAAAAAAATGCATTTTTCCCATTCATAGTAATATAAGTGCACCATCTTTGTTTATCTAAAGTCTATGGTTTAGCTCTTATCCTAAACAGACAACCCAAACAAGCTTATCATGTGCTGTGTCCGAAATCGAATACTTCCCTACTATGTAGTACGTGAAAAACAGTACGGCAACAGGTTGACCTTCTACATTTGACAATGTAAGTCACAACAGTGTAACAACATGCCATGTCAACAGGTACAGTATGTCTGAATTTCATTTGTATTATACTAGGGTTGGGAATCGAAACAATTCTGGAATTGTCAGGAATCGGATACTTGTTATAAATTTGAATTTCGATTCCTCTTATCGATTCCTTTGTAAGCATTTCAATATAACTAAACCATTCAAGCACCAGACAACTCGCTTGCTGTTTTCAGTGTGCAGGCGTGTGTAACTATCGTGTAGTCAAGTCAAGTATATTTATATAGCACTTTTCACAATATAGATTGCATCAAAGCAGCTTGACAGTATCAATCAAAACATAATACCAATGTTCGTTTCTTAGTGGAAAAAACATCCACGTTTGGTAGAGCTTATCAAGGATTGGTTAATTAATTTGAATATCCCCAACTGAGCAAGACAAAGGCAAATCAGTTGGGGAAATTCAAATTAATGATTCTTTTAAATGATTAATGAATTAATGTATATTTGTTCAGTTGTTTCTATTGTGGTGATTGCTATTTTTTATTTGTTCTTTCTTAATTACTGTGCATTTACTTGCATTTAAAGGAGTAGTTCAATTCTGAAAAAAACTTATGCTGATAATTTACTCACCAAGATGTCCATGTCATTCTTTCTTCAGTCGAAAAGAAATTAAGGTTTTCGATGAAAACATTCCAGGATTTTCTCCATATAATGCACTTCAGTGGGAACCAAATGGTTCAAGGTCCAAAAGACAGTTTCAGTGCAAACTGCAAACTGTTCAAAGGGCTTTAAACGATTCCAGACGATGAATAAGGGTCTTATCAGGCGAAACGATCGCTCATTTAATAAATAAATTTGTGAGTCTCGTTTGTGACTCTCCTGTTCGAACTCGTTCATCAAAATGAATGAATCTTTTTCCGAATCATTTGGTTCATTCAACGAATGAAACGAGTGAATTGACTCAGAAAAAGATTCATTCATTTTGATGAACGAGTTTGAACAGGAGAGTCATGAACGCACATCACAGAACAGAGCAAGGCGAGCATTTGATCTTATAAAACATAAACTTTGTTATTTTTCTTTTAAATGAGCGATTGTTTCACTTGATAAGATCCTTATTCATCGTCTGGAATTGTTTAAAGCCCTTTGAGCAGTTTACAGTTTGCACTGAAACTGTCTTTTGGACCTTGAACCGTTTGGTTCCCACTGAAGTCCATTATATGGGGAAAAATCCTGGAATGTTTTCACTGAAGAAAGAAATACATGGGCATCTTGGATGACATGGGGGTGAGTAAATTATCAGCAAAATGTTTTGAAAAGTGAATTACTCCTTTAATAATGTTTGACATTTATATTAGTTAGGTTAGTTGTTTTTCTATGGTATTTTTGAACCATAGGCAAACACCATATGTGTAAGTGTTCTTTAGCCTGTTGATTTTTGCTCATTATATTATAAGCAGAAACAAAATCGAAATCGTGTTCAAATGATAACCAGGGCTGCACACATTCATAGAAAGTATTTTTTTTAATGGTTGCGAAGTAATTCAAATGTAGTACCTACTCAGACAGAGATTTCGGATCCAGCGACGGTGTTCAGAATTAATTGTAAATCGGAGACGGCTGTGTTTAATTAGACTTGGAACTAAAGTGTGCAAGACACCAGTCGTCCAGCACTGAAGTTGAAGAGCCCTGGTGTTTCATACAGGTTGTATTGAGAAATGATATTTAACATGCAGTTTTGATTGTATCATTCACTCTCTTCCTCCTGTTTTTGTGTTTGTCTAGCTGTTATGGAAGGAGGCTCAGACATACCCTCTCTTCTCATTGCTGGGGGAGATGGAGAGTCACATGTTCGAGTGTGTGAACCAGGCAGCAGTTCACGAGGAGCTGGAGGACGAGACCAGGCGACTATGCGACGTGCGACCGTTCCGGCCTGTCCTCAAACTGATCACACGCAACTGTGGACGTGCAGAACGCCTACTAGACTCTAAGATCGGAGTCCTCATTGGCAAAGGTGACACTTAATCACATGTGTAATGAGAGCTCTACTTTTAGATAATATCCATTAGATTTGGATTTTTCAGTGACCCTTTCTGCAGGTTATATTTCAGTCCCTCCAGAAAAACGCGATTATGCGATCGCTGAATTCAATGCAAAATCAGCCAAAGTCCGCATATTTATGCGGCGGCCGCATTTTTTCGAATAAGCCGCACTTTCGCCGCATAAAATGCCGATTTCCACGCAAAATATGCGGGGCTTGCATGATTTCATAATCCTCGTATTTTCGTTGCAAAAAAAAGTCACATATATCTTCGCAGAAAGTTGAAAAATGTTGCGTTTGCTTCATACAAGAGCAGCCATTTCCTCCGGTTTCCATGGGAACGTTATGAAGTGACGCAATTACGCGACGGGATAGCTCACAGCTGAAGTTATTGCAGAGGCCAGAAAGACTCACGGAGGCGATTGACATCTCACAAATCGAACTCGTATAACTGTCTGTCACACGTTCTACCGTCACATCGTTACTTAATAAAATAAGATAAAAGAATAAGCATCAAACAGAAATTACCCGCACACGACATGGGGTGTTTGAGGCGCACACACTGCAGACAGTTCAGCGCGCAGCTCTTAAAGGGGCCACACCTTATTTACACTCGTTACAGTCTGAAATAAAACATTGCTGATTTTGTAATTGTGAAAGAGAGTCTATTGTGCACTTATTGTTTGAATGTCCCTATTTTTCAATCTTTTGGAATGAGATGTCTCAATTTCTAGGTTTTAAAATGAATTGCAACCTTGTCTTAAATTTGTCATCTTCATACAAATGATTTTGACTTTCCTATAAGAAAAATGTATGTTATCGATTTTTTCTATTGTTAGGAAAATTTCATATTCATCAAACTAAGTGGAGTAGCCTAACTCAAAACCCAACTTTGCTCATTTCAAAACAGCCTTTAAAATGTATTTTGAGTCTTTAAAATTTTTTAAAAAAATCGAAAAGCCCAAAAGATCTGTATCTCTGCTAAAGGAATTTAATATGTCTGTGATGCCCTCTATCTTTTTTTTTTCTTTTTTCTTTTTTTTTTTTTTTTTTTTTTTCCAAATTATTGTTTCATGTTTTAGGCTACTTCTCAGATGTTATAGCCTACTTATCAGAAAATGTGTAAAAGAAATGTCAAGAACTTGATATCAAACTCTGTGATTTTGAAAATTTAATAAAAATAAAACAAGATGAGAAATTAAATATTCCCAGCACTTTCTATGATGTAGTATGCTTGCTACATCATAGAAAGTAATAAGAAATGACTCTTTACATTAAGGTAGTAGCCTAGTGAGAACAGGATGTTGGGGGAATCACTTTTTTTCTCTTTTTCATCAAACCGCAGTTTTTGCAAGTTCCCGCAATTTTTGCAAGTTCCCGCAATTTCATCGCATAAAATTGCATAAATATCCCGCATATTCCATCGCATTTTTAAAGAAAACGGGCCGCGTAATCAAGGATTTTTGCCCGCAACAATCACAAAAAAACTCCGCGTTTTTCTGGAAGGACTGATATTTGTTACCCCAGTGGGTAACAACAAGCAAATGTTTTTTTTAATTAGGAGAGGATCACTGAATCATTCAACTCAACTAATTTGGTCAAAAACTTTGATTAATTCAGTGATAAACTGAGGCATGCAACAGTTGTTTTTTAGGAGCAAATTTGTTTGCCGATCAAAAATAGACCAAGCAACTAGCAATAGTGTGTCTTAAATGCACATTGCTTCATATGAACTTTTTTTACTGAACTGATATTTAAAAAAAATCACTCAATTGAGCTGTCAAAATATCAGGACTGTGTGATGACCTATGGCACAACAACACTCTTGCTTTTGTCTTACAGATTTAAAAAAAACAAATGTGTTAATACCTAAAATTTTTATTTTATATTTAGGGTTTTTTATGTACAAACATATATATATATATATTATAGTGCTTTGTTTTAAAAAATATTGGCAATAAAAATGAAAACACCAGAGTCTGCGTTTGAATTGCACTAGTAGTATAATCAGTATTTAAAAGCACATCATATTTGCCTTGATGTTTTGACAAATAAGAGCTCTTTGTACCATTAAAACATCCTAAAGGTTTCATAGCTTAAAAAGTCCTCCTCATGAATAAAGCATATAAATAAATTAGGGCTGTCAGTTAAATGCGTTATTAACGGCGTTAACGCAAACCCATTTTAACGGCGTCAATTTTTTTAATCGCGCGATTAACAGTCTTTTTGGCCAAGCAAACTTTGTCGTTTTTTTCACATGTTTTTGCAACAGGACGCGGCGCTGCGCTCTGAAACCCATTCATTTCACTGGCAGCGCGAGGACGTTTAGTTGCTTCATCGACCAAATCGCAAGCGGATCTAGCTAGACCTGAAACAAAACGACAGGCATGCCGCACAGACTCGTCCAGGCTTGCGAGCCTGCCAAATAGTTGGTTAACGTTACGTTTTGAGTGGATGACGAGCGCAATACGCCGAAATGGATGCCAATAAAATTCTGAATGGAAAGTTTACTTTTAAAAGTAGCCAAATGGCCCCATTGACAAGACCAAAGTGATCTGTGTGTTTTGTCGTTGTGAACTGAGCCATCATCATCGCAGCACGTCTAGTCTGAAATACCACTTGATGATGGCCAAGCAAACACACACACACACACACAGCTGATGCGAATTCTCCGCCCCCTTGTCAATAAAGGACCTCGTCAGTATTTCTTTCACCCTTTTATTGATGGACAGTTACATTGTGTGAGAGATTACTTGCTCCAAGTGAGAACGTTAGTGTGAAATTGAACACTATACGCTAATGTTGTTTTCAATAAAAATATTTGCACAAATCAAGCCGATCCACTTTTCCATGTTGATAAGAGCATTAAAATGAGAAAAAAAAAATAATGGGACAAAAACAAAAATCAAGAGACATTTAGAATAGATAAAAATGTGCGATTAACTCTTTCCCCGCCAGCGTTTTAAAAAAAAGTTGCCAGCCACCGCCAGGGTTTTTGACGATTTTCGCTAAATTTGAATGCCCCGCTGAATATTTTCTTCCATGAATATATGAAGATGATATATATAAAAATAAAGATCTGAGCCTCTGCTTTTAGGCAAAAAAAAACGTTTTATTTTATCTTCATCTGTTCTTTTTTTTATTGCCTCTTGAACAGAGGTAGGTTTTTGTCAAAAACACAACATTTTTGGACAAAAAACTGAGAAAAGGTATTTTTATCAAACAAGTGCATTTAAAAGCAGATACATTCAGATGTTGTTTCCTTCATATATAAAAACTTTTCCAAAATAAATTAAAACATAAAATAAATTGTAAAATATATCAAATTTCCCAGGATGTAAGGGAAATGTAATTTTGCAATAAAACTTCTGCCTCTGCCTCTCTGTGTCTTACCTGTGAATAATGAATAATTGGAATTACAATAAACAGGCCTAGACACACACACACACACACACACACACACACACACAAATACATATTACAATGTGGTAAATGTGCACAAAGAGAGAATAATTTGACAATTACACCTTATATTTAGACAGCCACACATAAATGCCTGCACACACACAACTATATGTGTCATAATATATACGATCTATCTGCGGCACGTCCATGGCTAGCATGAACATGTGCATCTCTCTCACTGACTACTTCGTCCCGATCAGATTCAGAATTATCAAATAAAGAGTGATCGGACTCCGAGTCCATTAACCTCCAGTACTTCAGCCATATACCTCTGCATTGTCTGTCTGATACATTCTCACTACTCCACTGTTTGAGACGATTGCGATCTGTTTCTCTGATCAAAAAGTTGCGCAATCATTCAGGACATGCGCGCGGGTCTTCCTTACCGTATACCACCTAAAACACGGATACCCGGAAAATTCCGTGTTTGGCGCAGATGCGTTTTTTCATTAAACACGGAAAATTCCGTGTTTGGCGGGGAAAGAGTTAATCGTGAGTTAACTATGACATTAATGCGATTAATCGCGATTAAATATTTTAATCGTTTGACAGCACTAAAATAAATAAATAAATTTGCTTACAACTCGCTCAAGTACTGGGGAGCTAAACCATTCAGTGCTTTGTAAGTAATTAGCAATATTTTAAAATGTATACAATGTTTAATTGGCAGCCAATGCAGGGTTGGAATCGGAGCTAATATGGTCATACTTACTGGTTCTGGGTAAGAACTCGAGCGGCTTCGTTTTGGACTATCTGGAGTTTGTTTATTAAGTGTCCAGGGCAACCACCCATTAGAGCATTACAATAATCTAGCCTTGATGTCATGACTAATTGTTCCGCATTCGTCAATGAAGAGCATTTGATGTAATTTTCAAATATTTTTTAAGATCGGGGTTTTACAGACTATTCACGTGACTTTCAAATGAAAGGTTGTATCAAAGAGCACACCCTGGTTCCTAACCGACGACGAAGACTTGACAGAGCAGCCATCAAGTGTTGACAGTATTCTAGGTACTGTATGAAGCTTGTAATATATGGTGTCTGTTAATCTTTTGGCACACACTTTTGGTGGCAGCAATTGTGCATGAGACTCAGCAGAGGCAGATATGAAAGTGATGCTGATTGTCTGTTTATGTGTATGTACGTATTAATTATAATAAGACTATGATGAGATGCCAGGCGAGGCTTACTGTATGCACACACAATCTACTTCCCTTACTCATTCACTGGCTCTGAAACAAACAAACACACACACGCACACACACACACACACACACACACACACTCTACTTCCCTTACTCATTCACTGGCTCTGAAACAAACAAACAAACACACACACACACACACACACACACAATATGGGTAATCTCTCTTAGTGGAGAGGATCAAATGAATTTTTAATGCTCTTTAAATGTCATCATGTGTGTTATCTGGAAGCCATTTGAAACCTTTCCCTCAGAACTGTCTCGCAACTAAACACACCGATGTCATTCAACGGGAACAGACGCTCATTAAAGGAATAGTTCGGTCAATAATGAAAACTGTCATAATTTAAACTTCTTTAATTTTGCAGATTCAAATAATACATTTTTTCTGTGAAACAAAAAAGGATCAGTCTGTTTTATTTTTTTAATGAAATTACATATTAGTCCACACCTAGGCCCGGTTTCAGACAGGGCTAGGATTTAGTCAGGATTAGGCCATAGTTCAATTAAGGCTTTTATAAACATGCCTTATCTTCTGACCAAAACAAGGCATTGACAGGTTTTAAGATATATCCAAAGTGCAAGTTACTTTCAGTTAAAAACAGCTCAAACATGCACTTAGTTTGAGACCAACTTAAGCCTTGTCTGCAAGGCCGGAGACAAACCTGGCCATCTTCACACAACACACAATGCACACTGTTAACTGTTTCTTCGACTATATCACACATTGTTTTTACTCTTTTATAAA